ACTCCTTGATTTTTCTATTAATTAAGAATGGATCGACGGATCTTTCGATGATTCAAGTTTAATTTTTGAATATCCAGTCGAGAAGTAAAATCGAGGTTTTTAAAACAATAATTTATTTATAATAGGTTGATACGTTACAATTATAGAGATTGGAAGGGATAATGTTTTAATATCTTTCTTTTTTATTCCGGTTCAGATTCCTCGATGAATCCAGAGATGAATCCAGAATGAAGCAGTAAAAACGCGAAAGCAGATATAGATTAGATGGTATTTATATAATATTAATCGTTAATCAAGCAATACCGATCTTGGAGAGATCCTCCATATCGACTTAGATGTGTAAATAATTACAATGCGTTCAATGAATTTGACTGTTTCCCTGAGTTACATCCCTCTTTTGGTTTGCATTTCACGCGCCATTTATAGTCGCAAATTTGACGCGTTTCGTCGAATTGAAGACCAGCTGGGCATTCCATAGGAATTGGTGGATCCGTGGTGCAGACGAAGAACGAAGAACAGTTGCACGGGTGTACGATCATCGTGTGGTTCTCATTTAAATCATCCGGGCACTGTGGTTTCAGATTTTGAGAGTTTACGTAGACCATGAACACCGCGATAAGAACGATGAAGAAGGCTGGAAACAGGTCGAATTGTTATTTTTTTACATTTTTCAAACGATGTAAAAATATATAACGATCCGTCGCACGCAAATTGTTTGCAAATTTACAAATTCGGTCAATTTGTTCGCAACGATCTAACAATTTATAGATTAGATTTAATCTGGTATGCGCAAATAAATGAATCAAAGAGCACTTTATAATATTTATAAAACACAAATATTCTTTCCTATCTCGAATTCTTCGTTTTTTTAATCGCGTAAACGATACGAAAATGAACTCGATTCTCATAAAAATTTCTATTTTCCAAAATTTTTATCTTCTTATCGATCCTTACCTACATCATCGAATAACGGGGATTAATACTTGGTGAATCAATTTTAAAAACTTACCTTTCATCTTGTATCCGTGAAGCAATACGAATGTCAAATGTTCAAACTCCGTGTCACCGTAGATATTAACTTACCCGGTCAAATTTTAGATTCGCTTTATATACTCGATCGATCGTTCGATTATTTCTCATTATCTATACGCCGATCCTGTTCTATTTTTCGGCTCGTTCGATTGTTTCTTTTTTTTTTTTCTTTCTTTTATCAATCACACACCATTATGATGCCATTAGAGTTGCTTATCGTAGATCGTAGATAACAGAGATTCGCGATTAAATCTTTTCAAAAATAACTCGACATTTCTTAATAAATTTTCCTACACGTTCCTTTAAATTACATTTAAACTTCCATCGTTTTCCTTGTGAACATTTTTATTAATTAATTATATATCCCTATCGATATACAACAAATACAACAATCAATTTTTATCGGCAAAATCCCCGATCTCCTTGCCTGATCAATCATATGCGATGTAATTAAAAAAAGAAATCACTTCGATAGTGGTAAGAAATTTCAAAGGATATCGTGCAAATATACGAATACTCGTTTGCACGTATTGTACGTGCTACGCTACGCTTGATTACTGAACAAAAAAAAAAAAAAAGAAAAAAAGAAAGCTTGAAAGAACCTTCATTCGTTCTTTCGATTTTCTCTTCCCGAGATCCGATCATCCCTGAAATTTTTAGATACCTGTAACACACGTGCACGGTGGTAAAGCGAGATGGAGCAAGTGAGAGGGAGCGGGGGAGGGAGGGAGAGAAGGAACTTTGGCTGACATTCGGACAATGGCGGCGTGGTGCTGTCGCGTTCGGTTCCTGGTTATGGCGGGTGCACAATGCCTATTGTCGAGCAACCCACCGTACAAACGTGTGTGCCAACGCTTCCGCACAACGGGCCACTGCTGCTCCACCACCACTTCTCGTCCCTCTGTTTCACCTTAACGGCCACGCACGCCGCCACCCCTTTTCTCATCACCCCTCCTTCACCCTTACCGATTTTTTCGCAACTTCCCTTGCGTTTGGCAAGGGCAATAAGATCGCGCTCCTGGAAGAGGAGGAGGAGAAGGAGAAGGGCCGATTCCTCTCTTTCTCTCTATCTATCTATCTTTCTCGAAGGAAATGAGCCTCTCGCGTTAGGAATCTTGGATACAAGATGGATGCAGGATTTTGTACGCGGTCGGGGCGGGGAACCTTTTCGACGTTTTAAAAGGACACTTTAATGCATTTTCGATCGGCGAAATATTCATCCCGTTTTCGCAGAGTCGAACGCGTATGAAGCGAGTTCTCGCTGTGAAATGGAGATTAAAGTCCGATTTCGTCCGATCTTCTGATTTTATTCTAAAGGAGAAAGAAAATGATACATTCCCTATTGGATGTAGATTAGGTGCAAATTTTTGAAATGGAGAATGGAGAAGTTGGCTCCTCTTTTTTTTTTCTGGCTTTTGGTTATTTTAAATTAATATAAGTTATGTTAGATGTAAACATGAATTCGAATTTTATCGGTACGAGAGATAAGGTATATATACGTGACGATGTTGATAATTTGTTTATTGGCGATTGCAATAGTTTTGTAGTGTTTTCTAACAGGTGACTAATATAGTAATAGTTTAATCGACGATGAACGGAATGTAAGAGCGTAGAATCTAACGAGGATAACACGGAATACACGTGTAAGAAGATTAATTTGTCCAAATCTTATCGTTACGTCACTCGTCACCGATTATAACTTGTTAAATTCACGATAAAAATCGAAGCATAGTCGTTTATATCTTTTCTCGATGTTTATTCAGGCATAATACGCAACTAACGTTTCGATGTTAAAAAAATCAAATGGTCATTACGAATATCAGTCAAAGATTAGGGCAATAAAATTTAATTTTCCCATTCGTAAATAACTATTATAATTTTAATCTTATTTCGCGGTAAAAGTTTAATGAAAATAATGAACGATAACATGAAACCGTTGTTCCCGTAACATTGAAGATAGATAAGATTATTGATGATTTGATCTTTGACAATATCATTGTAAAATTTTGTCAAAAATATTTCTTCGTTGTCTTAAAATCTCTCTATCTTAACTGATTTAAAATCAAATTTTATGTACGCGTTTCATCCAAATTCAACGTTTTCGAAATATCATATAAAATTATTTCGCAAATAATTATCTCGGTATATTACGAAACGTATCGATAAAACGAAACGAAGAATGAGAATAAATTTTATTTATTCGAGGCGTTTGACGTTTTATTATTTATTATATAATGCCATTAATTTTAAGAACGACACGAGTGTTCTTTCCATTCTAATAGACAAAGGTTTATAAATACTGAATATTTGCTAATTGACAGGTCGTATAAAAATGTGTTGCCAACATTTATCATACTCTGCACGACGTGAATGATGGACTTTTCTAGTCACTCGATGTGTTTCGACGGCAAGAAAATTTATATCTCGTGGCAAAAAAAAAAATATTTCGCGATATTATTATTACGCACTGCTAAACACATTTAACACATTAAAATATAAAACGCATAATCGATCCATTTAATGTAAATTATCTTTTCGTAAGCGAAAACGAATTACTCGAAAGAAATCGATGACTAGACGAATTTTTCGAAGAACGAAAAAAAAAAAAAAAGAAAAAGGTAGAAGAGAGAAAGAAAGAAACAACTTCTTCGAATTCCCATCTCAATAATTGAAACACAATTAGCAAGAAAAAAAAATATATATATATATATAAGTATTTAATTTAAATTATTTTTCAGAGAATAGCTTTCAAATTGCTCGAACGAAAAAAGAGAAAGAAAGTAGAGGAAGAGAAGGGAACGACAATTTTTTTTTCGCCTAGAATACCGCGTTTGACAATTAAGAGGGGGTAAAAAAGACGGTTTAATCTTTGGGCAAGCAACGGGATTGATTGGAAAGGAATCGACGAAGGACCCGTACGGAAAAAGGGAGGACAAGGAGTGGAAGAAAGTTCCCGCCAGAAACTCTCACTAGCATTTGAAATTCGAATTTAATCACACTTTATTGTTGAGAAGCACGCGAGGAATCCTTGATCGCGTCGTATCCCATCGCCGTAACGAGATGTACCGAGACGAAACGAGAAAAGAATTCGGTTCGTTACGCTGTGGGAGATCCCCATCCCTCCCCGCTTATCGCGATGCCCATAATTTGAATTCAATCATTTGCAAATGTCGATCTCTTTCGACCGTTGAACCAGATTGTTCCCAACGACGCGGAAATTGGCTTCACTTCGGGAAATGAGACGTTCCGATTCTCTCTCTCTCTCTCTCTCTTCCTAATTCACTCGTCGGGGTGGAATCAATCGGTGTGAACTTTCGCGCGACATCTCGAGGGAAACGTGCGTGTGCGCGCGAAAGTATTCATTCATGAAAGGAGAAGGGGAATTTTGAGAAATGAGAGAGAAACGATGCAATTATTCGATCTGGTGTTATTCGCGTGTTCGAAAAGGGGAAAAAAGAAAAGAAAAAATATCACAGAGCAATTTCTAACGAGAGAGAGAGAGAGAGAGAGAGAGAGAGAGACAGTCGAGGAGAGTTTCGACGAACATTTCGGGCGCAACGTTAACGTTAATATCTGGATTTTGTTCGCCGATTCGAAGGGGAACGGGAGAGAAAAGAGCGTGGCAGCCACGCTCGCCATATTGCCATACACGCCGCCTGCATTTTACGGCCGTATTCAGCGATTTTGCATATCGAACACCTCTTCCCCTGTATACGTGTAGATATATATATACGTGCGTGAATCGGGAAAGAGAACACGAGACAGAGAGATCGAGCGTGATCCACGAGCGTGAGGCGAGACTAAAGATGGCAGAAGAAGAAGAGGAAGAGGAAGAGGACGGAAAAAGGGACACGGCGTCGTTGTGATTTCTAGAGCGAAAGACGGAACTACATACCCAAGCCCCATTCACCTTTTCCACATCGATTCGCATACACACACATACACGGAGAATCGCAGAGCTCCTTGAGAGCTCAATTTATCGCGAAACGGGGTGAGCCACCGGCGGTGCTCACAAAGCGGTGCATGGAACGCGTACCGATCTCCTCCTACCTTCGAGCAAATTGTCATAATTGAATAACCAGCGAGATAAGCGTCGCTTTGACCGGTCTGCTCTCCCTCTCTCTCTCTCTCTCTCTCTCTCTCTCTCTCTCG